GCTAAATAAAGTTAAAAAATTTATGTGACAGAACCAGATTTTAGAAACTAGTCTGTCTCAAGAGCCCACAGTCTTAGCCATTAAACACACTGCTTTCCCAGCACATAGGTAATCATAAAATAATTGGACAGATGAGGAAATTCTTGTCAAACTACTTACATTGCTCAGATATTGCTGAACTCACTCACAGTGCTCAGTAGAATATTTTCTGCGGGTGAGTATAAGTCCTGGTCAGGACAATAATACTGTCAAACACTGACCAGGACCTCCCTTGAAGTCTTCAAAATCAGGCAATAGATTTTTAATCAGTGAAATTTTTTTTTAACCTGAAGGCACCAAACTACATAACTACAAAATGTATAAGGCAGAAAGTGGGAGATTTCAATATACATATTCAAAATTAGGTCAAGAAAACAAAAGTAATGACATAGAATAAATGAATAATATAATCAACAGTATCTATTAATAGCCCAATACAGAATTCATAGCCTACAAATAGATCATATAATTTTAAAAAATATCCCTGCAATATTTACAAAGATTAATCATGTGCCTGGCCAAAAAGAAACGTTTAACCCTGAAATGGAGATTTTACAATCCATGTTCTCTGATAGCAATAATAAACTTGGACATTAAGAAACATTCCTCAATAACTCTTGGATCAAAGAAAAAAATAAAAACAGAAATTACAAACTATCCCTCAGGCAGCAAAAATGAGAATGCTTCAACTCAGAATTTATGGAACACAGCAGAAGTTATACTCAGATGAAATTTATAGCTTTAGGTGGCATCGTTATTAAAGGATGGCTAAAAATGAAAGTACTTATACTCATCATAGGAAATTAAAATATCCACAAAGTAAACCACAGTATATTAATACATATAAAATCTGTAATCGATGAAATAGAAAATAAAAAGCTAAAGAAGTTAAATAAATCTGGAACCTGGCTATTGAAAAGATTAATAAAATAGATAAATCTTTCCTAACCCTGATTTAAGATGCAAAAGGGACAAAGCAAAATTTCAAAGATTAAAAAGGAGAAAACAGTCATAATTACAGACGTGGAGAAGATTGAAAGACCCAAGAAAAAGCTTCATGAAACTCGATGGTAACACATTTGATAACTTAGAGAAAATGATATTACAACAAATGTAAATCACCAAAATTGATATAAAAGGAGGACAACTTAGAAAATACTGAAAAGATGAATAAAAACAAGCTATTAAAGATGTTAATAGAACCAGATGCCTTTGTAATTGAGTTTAATCAATCCTTAGAAATCACCCATTCAAGTATTTAAACCATTCCAGATTATAGGGAGAGATGTAAATCTTCCCACATTTCATAAAACCAGCATAATCTTAACCCTTACTAAAGATAGCACAGATGAAATACTACAGACTAACCTCATGAACACACCAGCAAAAAACTCAAAAAACAAAATGGATGATGGATGACAAATAAAATTAAAAGATTCTATTTTTTTTTTTTTTTTTGCTAGTCAGGGAAATATAGGTTTAAATACAAATGAAATAATTAACGTTACACATCAGTTTTAAAAATTTTAAAGGATGAGTACACCTACTATAAGTGGGAATTTGGGGGTAAAGGATATTCTCATGCATGTTGGTAGAATGTACTTTTTGGGAAGCAATCTTGCAATATATTTTAAAATAAAAAATGTACATACTGTTTGGCTCACAGTCTCATTCCTGTGATTCTGTGCCATAGAAATCAAAGTGCTAGTCCATAAAGATGTTTATTGCAGATCTGTTTTTAGAGGCATAATCCTGAAAAACAAAGTGAGTAACTATTAATAGAAGAATGGGTCAGTAAACTATTCAAAACATGGAGTATTATAAACCTACTAAAAGAGTAAGTCAGACCTATATCACTTGAAAGGATATTATGCACTGTTATGCGAGAAAAGCAAGATGTACGTCTTGTGTATAATATGATATGATACCATTTTGGTAACACAAACAAGAACTCCTCCCCCCCTCTGTAAGTGTACAAGATATGAGCATGGAAAATATGAAGCTAGTTGTTAAACATTTTTATCTAGGTGGGAGCTGGAGTGAGGGAGAAGGAAAGGAGGGGAGGGAAGAAGAGTAAGAAAAAAAGATAATCACCTTTGAGCAAGAATATGAGAAAAAAGAGACTGAAAAAGCCCCAAACAACAATAAACAATGCTAAGAGCTTAGAATTAAATGCTCTGTTAGAAGAAGGTATCATTATTTACACACAAATAGGGTTGGACTAAGCCGTGGGTGAGTTTGTTGCAGGGGGATAGGGGGATAGGGGGAGGGGCTGCACACAGAATTTAGAAAACTACCAGAACCTTCATTTACTGATGCTATTAAGAGCACTGACTGGCAGACGGAGACTGCAGAATCTACAAGTATATTTATTTTTAGCATGTATCTTTGGAGGTTTCAAAGGTTTAATTTTAAAATATGATGATTCCTTAGTTCACCTATGAACTCAAAGTCTGCCTTCGTCTGGTAAAATTAAATGCACAATAGAACACTTTTTTCCCTCACCATTTTAATATTTAGATCACGGTGTATCAGATTTTGTTTTGTAAACTTGCTAGCATTCTTGAGGAATAAGAGTGAATATAATTTGTTACTGTTTTTCACTTTGTGACTTTTGCACACAGTAGGGAATTCAAGAAATGATTTGTTGGAAAGAATTGAATTCCACTTTTTTGAAGTGTTTCCAGCTGAGATAAGTTACCTATAACTGATAACAAGAATTCCTCACATTCCCTTCTTCCCCCTGGTGTAGGAGACAGACTTTTTGTTTAAGAGCCAAAAGATCTGCAAAATGCAGAACATCAGTCACAGTGAATAATACGAATTTCACCTTCACTCAAATGTGTGTTTGGCCAGTAACAGGTGATTAAACGTATCAAGGCATTACCTTGCTGATGGGAGGTGCTCACCACATTCTCCCCGTTTCTAAGGCAACTGATTAAGGAATTTAAGAACTGAGGCCTCATTTAGGCTGACGCTTCAGAAAGGTAGAATTTCTTCTCCAGGAGGCTGTACTGGAAGACAAGGCTTATTTGTTTTAATGTTTTCCATTTCTCTGAATTTCACAACACAAGGTGCTCAGATACCTTCTGGTCGAACCTACTGGAAAATGTTACGAATATAAATATGGAGAGCTCAGTTTTGCCAATCCAAAAAAACACTCGGTGGGATTACTGGTAAGTAGGAGGCAACTCAATGAAGACTTTGTTTTCCTTTTAGCCTCACTTTTTATTTACTTCTTTGCAGCACAAGCTGTCAACGGTGATATTGGTGATGTCGGGCCAACCCCTCCTTGAGGGAGTCTCCCTTTACAAGACCCAAGGCCCTGGGTGGGTCCAATACAGACAGGCTTTTCATAGACTTAACGCTGTTCAGCCTGGAAGCCCACTGTGATAAACTGCCATTGAGATAAATTCACTAGTTCTCTGGAATGAGTTCTTTAGGCTACACAATGGCCTCCAGGGAGAGTCAGGGCTTGTTTCCAATGGGAGGTTAAGAGGATCTTTTCCTTCTTTTAATCAGGAGGCAGAAACTAGTTCGAGGTCTAACCAGCAAATTGTTCACATACTTCTCTAGTACCCCCAGCCTTCGCTGTAGTCTTGCTTTGTCTTTGTGGATTAATTGCTCACATCTCTGAAACAAAGTGATGTTTTGTTTTTCATTAACTCCCTGAAGTCTAACATGAATAGTTCATTAACACATAAAAGTTATTACCTTTGCTCTTTTCTCTTGCAAGAGAAATAATAAATCTTAGCTATGAAGTGTGAGAGGCAATGCTTGCTATTCTTTGATACAAAAATAATGTTAATCACAGTTCCATACATTTTTGGGCTAATGTTATCATGACTCAAGGTCTTGAGGTAACTTCAAATTTGCAATAAATCCACATATCTTATGGAATGACTCTAACAAACCAGGATCACACTAGAATGTAAACTCTGGGATCTCACCTTTACATCCCTGTGCTTTCTATAATGCCTAGCAGATAGAAGGCTCTTGCTGAATGAATGAATGAACAGAGATGTGCTGCCCTGGGAGGTGGGTCATCGTGAGGTTAACATGGTAGGCCAACTGGGAGTGGTGGGGACTTGAAACTAACCTTACCCACCAAAGCAGCTGCAAGCTCTGGGGGGAATTCCATTTTATCACTTTTTAGTTGTGTGGATTGATGTGACAAGTAGTAATGATAATAAGCCACCATATACTTTACACACATAGTGATTAATCCTAACAAATCTTACAGAGTTAACTGTGTTATCTCTAAGGTATAAGTTACAATGTGAAAAATGAGCCCTGGGAGGTTTAATGACTTTCCTAATACTACGTAACTAGGAGGTAGCATTGAGATTCAAATTCTGGCTTCTTTCAAAGTCCACACTTCCTAAATTTATGTGAGTAGTAGGCATTGGATGTGGGCATGCATTTAGAAGAGGCAGGGGACCCCAATGATCAGGCATTCCCCAGAAGATGTATGTCAGAGGACAGGGATTTCAGGCCGGCCCATAATCCTTCAAGACTAAGGGAATCTTTAGAGCAGGTAGCAGGGACCCAGGCACTAGGCTGGAAATTTTGATTAAGATGCAGGAGGATCCTGTAAGAGAGGGCCTAGTTTCAGAGGAATTGGGTTACTGGAAAGGCTACAAAGATAGTGACTCAGGCACAGGCTATATTGATTTTCTATTGCTGAGTAAGAGATTACCAAAAATTTGAAATAACCATTTATTAGCTTATAGTTCTGTATATCAGAAGTTCAGGTAGGCTCCACAGGGCTCTGTGCTGAGTATATCATGAGGCCTAAATCAAGGTGATGATCAGGCTGGGCTCTTATCTGGAGGCTCTGGGGCAGATTGCAGAATCTGCTTCCAGGTTCACTGAGGTTGTTGGCAGGATTCAGTTGCTTATAGTTGTAGGGCTGAGATCCCCGTTTCCTTACTGGCTGTTACCTGGGAACTACTTTCAGCTCTCAGGTCCTGGCCTTCGGCGTCTCCATCTAGTAGTGGAAAACTTCCGTTGCATTAAATGCCTCTCATCCTTTGAATTTCTCTGGCTTCTTCTGCTACCAGCTGGATAACATTTTCTGTTTTGAAACGGCTTCTGTGATTAGAACAAGATCATTCGAACATCTCCTTATAACAAGGTAACTGATTAATAACCTTAATTGCATTGCAAAATCCTTTTTTCCATGTAAATAAGATCATCATGGGCATGATATCTCATCATATTCACAGTCCTGCGAAACTGAGAGAGAAATCTTGGGGAGCCATCTGAGAACTCAGTCTAGCATGCAAGGGAACCATTAGGATCAGAGTAAAGACAACAGTGGGTGCTGAGATCCAGTGTGCTGAGCTCTAAATTTCTCCTGTATTAGGTCAATTATACTGAACTGTGGAGATAGGATGGCTATAGCCAAATCACCAATCCTGACCCATATGGAGCCTCTTCCAGCAGGCTCACAGGTGAGGTGGCTCAGGGGAGTGAGGGAAGAGCTGCTTATACAGGTAGAGCCCTTTTGATTCTGACATCCTTTAGGAACAATGCAAGAGGTGTGTAACTACTCTTTGACACTGAGAATTTTGCAGGTGGAAAGGAGATGTATGATAATGATGAAGAAGTCTATGTCATCACCAGCCTTCTCTGAAACCTGTGCCTGTTCATGGAAAAAGAAATTTTTTTTGCCCAAAGGCCTGTTCATCTGTTTCCAGTTGTCATTTTAGTGTTAGGAAATAGGCAGGGGACTCTTGACTGCAGAGTGATTTTGTAACAGCCCTCACCTAACAATCGTCCCAACAACTAGCCATCCTGACACTGAAGAATGATAATTGATGAGGCCTTTGCTATTTTTATTTCTTTATGTGGCAGAAAAGAAACTCCAGTTTTTTAGAATAAATCCCCTCCATTTAAGCAGAGAATTTTTGCCACAGGCAATGACTAAAAATAAAAATATTCTTTTCATGCCTGTGTGCTTGGGCTTCCTCAATCAGAAGATTCTGCAGGCCCAGTAAAACAGACCACAAACCTAGAATATTTTAGAATCATTGAATGCCCCAGCTATTACAGAAGCTGCATTGCATTGAGTGCCTAGCTCACCTATTTGTAATATAAGGCTTAAAAAGTAGCTTGGATGAGACAGTTTAATATTCTTGACAGTATTAAATGTCAGCATCAACCATTGGGCACAATTCAGATTTCCTTCCTTGATGGTTTTTCTTCATGTTTTTAGAGGAGCCAAGCTCTGCATTTTCACTCATAATCAAATGGAATAGATTTGGCCAGTCAGTTCCTGAGAGTAATTGCTAGACTCTTTAAACAAGCAGCCATCTCCAATTAACCTGTAGAGCACGTCAGATGAAAGGCCTGCTTCTCCAGGCAGCAGCAAGCTAGTGGGGATATTTCTTCACATGCTCCATTTGCATATCTGACAGTGAGTGCATACGTTGCTTTTTTCTTGGTCTGTTATTTAATTTCCACCAGTGAACTAATGAAAATAACAAACCTTCTTCTTTCTATGCAAAACTCTGTTGATAAGAAACCAGCCACAATATCTATGTTGGGGTAATGCTTTTGGCTTCCAAATGCACTATTTTAATATTTCATCTCCACAACACTTTAAGGCAATATCAGAGAAAGGTGTTTTGGCACAATTTCCTCTGAGAGGCCCTGATTTTTCCAAGCAAATGACACTTTGTTATGAACTTTTAGTCATCAAACTGTCCCATAGAGTATGTGAAGCTTGTAGGCCTTAACTATTAAGCTAATTGGTGAGAACCTGAGTGGACTCAGCACTTTGGTTTTTATGTACTAATACCAAATTTCAAATGAATGGGTGTTACAGCTTTGAACCCTGTGTTTCATTTTGTTTTGCTTTTAAGGGATTGGAGAGTTTCTCTGTGCCTGCCAGCCCATCTTTGGGAAGCCTGGCCACCCTCATTATGATACCACTCTAGGCACTGGGACTAATGTCAGGGAAGTGATGGGCATTCCTCTGGGCACTAGGACATGGTCTGAGCTGGCCCTGCTGCTGTGCCTGCCAAGACATGTGGATGGAAGTCCTCTTTCTTTTCTGATGGAGCCAGAAGAGGTTTGTTTTGCTGAGGATCTAGAGGCCTTTACTCACTGTAGTGATTTCTTAGGGCTGCCTTAACAAGAGGCCATGAAATGTACTGGAGGCAAGAAGTCCACTCCTGAGAAGTCAGCAAGGCCATGCTCCCTCAAGAGTCTGGGTCAAATCCAGTCCTTGCCCCTCCCCAGTTTCTGGTGGTTGCTTCCAATCCTTGGCGTTCCTAGGTTTGCAGCTGCAGCATCTAATGTCTGCCCGTGTCATCGCATGGCGTCCTCTTTCTGTGTCTTTGTCTTTACATGATCTTCTCCTCTCTGCGTGTCTGTGCTCATATTTCTCTCTTCTTCTAAAGACATCAGTCATGTTGGCTCATGGTTCACCCTGTGGACCTCATCTTAACCTGCCTAAATCAAAGACCCTATTTCCCAATTAGGTCACGTTCATGAGTCGTGGAAGTTAGGACGTCAACACGTCTCTTGGCGGGACACAGTTCAACTCATGACATTTGTCTACTTTGCTGTACAATGAATTGAGCCAAGGATGGTGAGAAAATATAAGACAAACCCTCTCCTTAAATAGATACTCTTCACTTTCTAGCCCAAAGGGTCTCTGCAAGACAAGAGCAGGTCTGCTTGCTTGTTTTTACTAAATTTTCTGTGAACCAGTGTTTGGAATGAGAAAATTAATCGTTAGGGGATTCATGTGACTGCTCCCTTTTTATAGATGAGAAATGTGAGGCACAGATGCCTTTAAACATATTGATCACACCTATGTTTCAGGCATGGTGTTTCTATTTAGTTTCTTTAAGGAGTTAGCTTGTGGTCATGTAACTTTCACCACTTCATATACCTGGGAGAGAGAAGAATGGTTCTTGGATTTCTCATCTGATGGTTTGGTCTATACATTGTTACTTCTGACCCTGTAATACTGTAGCAGGAATATGTTTATAAGGCTATAATCTCTGTTATACTTCTCTCCTCTGAGTTTACTTCTTCAGCCTGTACTGGAGTTCTCTCTTTCTGAAGTACTACTTTATGGTAAGATAAATACTCATTATTTAACATTTGTCATTATTTATATGTCACCTTTTACCTATTATCTTCAGAATTACCTAAGGGCTTGACAGAGTAGATTCCCAGATCCAATCCATTGGAAAATCTAGGTATGTGATATGAGGCTCAAGTCTCCAATTTTTAGAAAGTTTCTCAAGTGTTTTTGGTGTTTAGTGACCATTGAACCAGTTGCCTGTAACATATATTCCAGCCCTAAGCATTTATTTATATGTCTTCTCTTTGGATCCTGCCTCTGTCCCATGTTTAAGGTCTGAAGTATTCTAATTTCCACTGACCACTGGGAAAATGGCAGTTCCAGAGTCTTCTGTTGGTTCCAGAGTCCTGTGAAAATTCTGGTTTCAGTACACATCATAGACACTAGCTTAACGTACAGTCTGACTTCTTTCTAAATTCTCTTCCAAATTTCACTGTTTTTTTCTTTTTTCATATGGCTTCTTTATCTGTGAATTTTCCTAGGACCCATCTTGTTTTTCATCCTCTAAAAATCAATACATGTTAATAGACACATTCAGGACTGAGGCTTTCTGTCCTCATTGAGATTTTCTGAAGGACCAGGAGGCTTTTCCACACAGAGAAGGACCATAGCGCCTCCCCATCAAGAACCATAATTCAGACACACTATCATCTATGCAGCAAAGTGAACATTTTACACAGTGCTTCTTTGGAAGTATTTGGTCAAGGATGACACAGTTGTTGCAAAATTCAAGGTGGCTTTTTTCCTCTCCATAGAAGGTCTTTGTTTGGACTTTTTAGGCAAACAGAAAATGTTACTTTAGGGCATATTTATTCCATTTGGATACATCTGGATGTTTGGATGTTTTCATGCATAGAGCCTACCCACTGCCTTGCATGTAGGAAGTGCTTAATAATTATTTGTGAATATAAGAACCAGTATCTAAATACCTTGTTGAGAGAAATCCAACTTGTTTCTCATCAGATCAATTCCTTGAAAGTCAAACCCAGGACTCTGGCTTACTGGTTATCAGCAATTTTTCAAATATTATCTTAGGCCAGAGAGTTTAATGAGGCAATCTTTACAGGCATTGAACTGCCTTCGTCTGATAGCCTCATTGCACCTGCCACACCTTGCCGTGACCTCTACTACACTCTATCTTAGGGGTGGGGAAAAGTAGACAGTGATTAATGTTGGTGATACTTATTCAACAACTTATTACTAAGAGGTTCAATTCATAAGTCTTCGTTAAGTATCCATTCTTTTTCCAGCCCTGTCGTTTGCAGCCTGAGTGATAAAGTAAAAGATTGGACCTTTCCTTGGTAGAATTTACAATCTAACCAGATATCTTTATAAGGAAGGAGTTGCTAAATTCTATGCTTTTCCCTCTGTCCTTCTGTTTACTTAGTCACTCCCATGTGCTTTTCTGGCTAGTTTTCCCTTCCTATATCACCCATGATTCATTACTTCAGGCTTGCCCTGCAGTATGACCAGTTTTCACTAGCTGAAAGACAGGAGTAGTAGAGAAAGTTCTGTAGATGAAAAGGACTGGGTTCAAATCCCTTTTCTGCAACTTGTTGAATCTGTGGCCTTGGGGAAAATTAGTCCAACTCTATGAACCTTAGTTTCTTCATCCTTAAGACTAAGGTAATAATACCCACTTTATATGTTTGTTAGAGGATTAGAAACAGTTTATACAATGTATGTAATGTGCAAAGTGCATGGGAGATTTTTAATAATGTTAACTAGAGGTACAACTACTATAATCATTAAGTGCTAGCTAGAGAAGCAACTAGTAGAAAATGGCTAAATAAGAATGAAGAAAAAACAGGAAATCTACTCAGAGGAAATACCTATCAGGTCTGTCTTAATAGCTCAGAAAGAAAGTTAGACTTCATTTATTCATTCAACAAACATTTTTAGTAAGTTCAGCTCCAAAACTGAATGTGAAAGAGAGCAGGGGAATGGAAGAACCAGAAGCCATTTGGCATGGACGAGTTGGTAGAGAAAATAAAGGAAATAAGAGGGGAAGATTTGCCACCATCCCCCCACCC